TCCCTGCTAAGGGGGGAGTCTGCTTCTCCCTCTGACCCTCCCCCCTCTCATGGGCTCTCTATCTCACTCTCTCTCTCTCTCTCTCAATAAATAAATAAAAATCTTTAAAAAAAATAGAAAGATGATACATAGAGAGTTGATGGGTGACCGAGGCGTAGATGAGTGAGTAACCATTTAAAGCAGCCCAGGCAAGATGTGCTGAGGCTTGAAATCCCAAGCGTATTAGAGACTAGAAGAAAGTCGGGGGGGAGGGGTCAGACTCTGGGGGTAGTGGAGAAGCGTAGTCAAGGTGACCCTTGGGCTCTGGCTTAGGTGGCCAGCTGGGCAATGGCACCCTTAGCTGGAGGAGGGACAGGTTGTGCTTGAAGATACAAGGAGACAACCTGGAGAGGAGGTGCCTGGCGTTTCATCTGGGGGATGGGAAATAGCCTACATTTTACTTGAATTTGGGGGTTAGGATTTATTCTTGATCCCAGAAGAGGTGGCGAATTCAGAGGGCTAGGAGCTGTTCCTCCTTTTCTTCCCAAGATTGTTGAAGTTGTCACTACCTGATAATAAATCCTTTTTTTTTTTTAACTTACATAGTTAGAACGTTTCTGTGGTCTACCACCAAACCATAATTGATACAGATGGAAAGACATAGCCAGCAAATACTGTCCACGAGGAAGTTAGTGGAGAGAAATTAACATCGGACAAAGTAGACCTCAGGGCACAAATCATTATTAGGAATAAAAGAGGTCACTGCATAATGATTAAAGAAATAATTCATTTGAAAGCATTAACCATTAACATGTGTGCACCTGCCTAATGGTAGAAACTCAAATGCATATCAAACAAAAAAGTAGCCGTAAAAAGAAAAATTAATTAGTACACTTGCCACAATAAATTACACTGCGTCTCACTGCACATGGTAGCTCAAGAAGACAAAGCTTGTCAGACTATAGGAAAAATTGAACAAGCTTGATTAATGGACATCACCAAACTAGAGACTACACATTCTTTACAAGTTCACCTTGATCATTTAATAAAACTCACAATGTCCTAGGCCACAAAACAAATCTCAACAAATACTAAAAGAATTGGTATTGTACAAATCACGTTCTCAAACTGTGATAGAATAAAATCCTAAGTCAATGATAAAACTAAGGGCGCCTGGGTGGCTCAGTCGGTTGAGCATCTGCCTTCGGCTCAGGTTGTGATCCTGGGGTCCTGGGATGGAGCCCCGCGTTGGACTCCCTGCTCAGCGGGGAGCCTGCTTCTCCCTCTGCCTGCCGCTCGCCTGCTTGTGTGCGCTCTCTCGCTCTCTCTCTCTGTCAAATAAATAAATAATCTAAAAAAAAATAAAAAGAAAATTATTCTCCTTGACTCTTGTCCAAGGAAAAAGATAATCATATTTTTTAAAAAATGATAAAACTGGGGTGCCTGGGTGGCTCAGATGGTTAGGCATCTGCTTTCGGCTCAGGTCATGATCCTGAGGTCCTGGGATCGAGCCCCGCGTCGGGCTCCCTGCTCCATGGGAGCCTGCTTCTTTCTCTGCCTCTGCCTCTCTGTCTCTCTCCCTGTCTCTCATGAATAAATAAATAAAATCTTTTAAAAAAATGATAAAACTAAAATTAAGTCCTCTCATATGTTTGGAAATTTTAATGTACAAATGTAAATTTTAAAATACACTTTCAAATAACTGACTGGTGCAAGAAGAATTATAATGAAAATCTAACAACAGAGCTGAACAACAAAGAAAACACTACATATAACAATGAATAGGGGCGCCTGGGTGGCTCAGTCGGTGAAGCGTCTGCCTTCGGCTCAGGTCATGATCCCAGGGTCCAGGTATCAAGCCCCGCATCTGGCTCCCTGCTCAGCGGGGAGTCTGCTTCTCCCTCTCCCTCTGCCCCCCCCCCCCCCTACCCCCCCCCCCCTCCCTCTTCCCTCTCTGTCTCGAATAAATAAAATCTTAAAAAAAAAAAACAACCATATAGGATGTTGCTCAAGCAGTGCTTAGGAGGAAATGTATAGCCTTAAAAAGAATAAGATGAGCACCAACTCAGGAAGCTAGAAAAACCACGGCAGAATAAACCCAGAAAAAGCAGAAAAAAGGAAATCACAAAAACAGCAGAAATTAATGAAATGGAAAAAAGAAAGATCAATAAAGCCAAAAGTTTGTTCTCTGAAATTTGCAAAATAAACCAGTCTCTGGTGAGAATGAAAGGAGAGAATGTATAACTAGACGATCCTAGGAAGGAAAATAGGGATAAAGCGACAGATAACAACAGCTGTGTCAAGCACAATGGGAGAGTCTGTGTAAAGCAGGGGAGCTTGGACACCTGTGTAGTACTTGCTTCTAAAAACACCATGAAAATGACAGTAAGGGGATGACAAGTGCAGAAAGGAATAAGTTCACCACAGAAAAGGAGAGGAGTGAATGCCTACCGAGAATGTTTTAGAAGCTGGAAAACAGGTGGAAGAGGCAGCCAGGGGCAAGGGCTGGCTTGCAAAAGAGCTGGAAGCACCAGATACCGCAGAAGAAAATATGTATGCGTGGTGGTGGGGGGCAGACAGGAGGATTGATTGAAAATCTATATAAGAAGCTGCTAGATCATACACACACACACACACACACACACACACACACACACACACAAAGAAGCTTCTAAATGTTCACATCTTTGCCCCACCTCTTGCAGAAGACCAGACTTTACTCTCCATCAAATTAGAACAGAAGGCCTGTGGAAATGCAGGGGCGCCCGAGTGGTGCAGTCGGTTAGGCGTCCGACTCTTGGTTCCAGCTCAGGTTGTGATCTCAGGGTCAGGGGATGGAGCCCCCTGTCAGGCTCCACGCTCAGTGCAGAGTCTGCTTAAGCGGCTCCCTCTCCCTCTGCACTTCCTCTCTGTCTCTCTCAATATGTAATAAAGAAATCTTTAAAAAGAAGGTCTGTGGAGTGCTCTCTTCGGCAGCCCATATACTAAAAGAAGGTCTGTGGAAATGCAAGTCAAGGTCACGGTGAAATATCCTTTTATTCCCACTGATTGGCAGAAATGAAAGAGTCTGACAATCCCAAGCATTGGCGGTGATATGGAGTAGCAGGAATCCATACACTGCGGGGGAGGGAGGCGGTGTTCTGGAAACTGATATAACCACTTTGGAAGAGAATTTGGCATTATCTAATAGAGTCGGAGATGTACGTGTTTATGACCTAAGAGTGTCACTCCTGGGCACATCCTAGAGAAGGTCTTTTACAAATAAACAAGATCACATGTACAAATCATTCACAGCAGCATTGTTTACAATACACCAAAGCTAGAAACAAGCCATCTTCTCTGTATCATTCCAATTTTAGTACATGGGCTGCCGAAGTGAGCACTCCACAAAAAGAGTGGATCAAATACGGCTGTATGCCTCAACTTGGATTATGTCACAAATGTAATGTGGAATTAAAGCAACAAGTTGGAGTGGCGCCTGGGTGGCTCAGTCGTTAAGTGTCTGCCTTCGGCTCAGGTCATGATCCCAGGGTCCTGGGATCGAGCCCCGCATCGGGCTCTCTGCTCCGCTGGAGGCCTGCCTCTCCCTCTCCAGCTTCCCCCCTGCTTGTGTTCCCTCTCTCGCCGTGTCTCTCTCTGTCAAATAAGTAAATAAAAAATCCTAAAAAAAAATAAAAAATAAAAAAGCAACAAGTTAGAGAAATATACACCTGGTTACAATTCTATTTATATAAAGGTCAAAAGATGCAAAACTAACTAATGTTGTTTAGGGATAATGCATATTTTGGAAAAGTATAAAGAAAAACAAGGAAAGGGTAGCAGTGGCCTCTGTTGAGGGGGGAGGAGGGGACACGGGGGCCCCAGAGGCTTTGGAGTGCGGTCATCCAGCGGATGGCGGGGACACAGGTGTAGTGCTTTATCATCATTCTCCAGACAATTCGCAGAACTGCTGTGTGCTCTCGTGTATGCATGTGGTTGAATAAAATGAACTTGCCATTTTCATAGGTCAAAATAGCTGACTATTAAGCAGTTTCATCTGCCTTTTGACCTACCAAATTTCGTAATAATAGAATAAAACCAAAAGACTTAAGCTAATAAATGTAAACTGTGATGAAATGGGCATGCTCCTAAGAAAATATTGTTTATCAAAAACTAACTCAAAGGACGCCTGGGTGGCTCAGTCTGTTGAGCGTCTGCCTTCAGCTCAGGTCATGATCCCGGGGACCTGGGATTGAGTCCTGTGTCGGGCTCCTTGCTCGGCGGGGAGCCTGCTTCTCCCTCTGCCTGCCGCTCCCCCTGCTTGTGATCTCTCTCTCTCTCTTTCTCTCTCTGACAAATAAAATCTTCAAAAAAAAATTAACTCAAAATAGAAAAACTCATCCAAAAATTCATATGGAATCTCAAGGGACCCCAAATAGCCAAAACAATTCTGAAAAGGAAGCACAAAGTTGGAGGAGTCACACTTCCGGATTTCAAAACCTGTTGCAAAGCTACAGGAACCCAGACAGTGTGGTACTGGCATGAAGACAGACAAACAGGCCTGTAGAACAGAGTAGAGACCCAGGCATAAGTCCTGACGTATATGGTCAAATGACCTTTGACAAGGGTGCCACGACCATTCAATGGGGAAAAGACAGTCTTTGCAACAAATGGTGCTGGGAAAACTGGACAGCCACATGCAGAAGAATGAAACTGGACCACTATCTTACATCATATACAAAAAGCAACTCAACACCATTTACGGGCCTAAACATAAGACCCAAAACTGTAAAACTCCTAGAAGAAAACACAGGGGGCAAAGCATCATGACATTGGATTTGGCAATGACTTTTTGGAAATGACACCAAAAGCTCAGGCAACAACAGCAAAGAGTAGACAAATGGAACCACACCAAACTGAGAAACTTTAGTGCATCCAAGGACTGTGCAATCAACAGAGTGCAAGGCCCCCCATGGAATGGGAGAAAATATCTGCAAATCATACATCTGAGAAGGGGTTACTATCCGGAATACATAAAGAACTCCTACAACTCAACAACAAAAAAATCAAAGTCTCCAATTAAAAACTGGGCAAAGCAGGGGCACCTGGGTGGTTCAGTCGTTAAGCGTCTGCCTTCGGCTCAGGTCATGGTCCCGGAGTCCTGGGATCGAGTCCCACATGGGGCTCCCTGCTCCACGGGAAGCCTGCTTCTCCCTCTCCCACTCCCCCTGCTTGGTTTCCCTCTCTCGCTGTGTCTCTCTCTGTCAAATAAGTAAATAAAATATTTTTTATTTTTAAAAGAGTTTATTTATTTGAGAGAGAGAATGAGAGAGAGAGAGCACATGAGAGGGGGGAGGGTCAGAGGGAGAAGCAGACTCCCTGCTCAGCAGGGAGTCCGACGAGGGACTCAATCCCGGGACTCCGGGATCATGACCTGAGCCGAAGGCAGTCGCTTAACCAACTGAGCCACCCAGGCGCCCAATAAAATATTTTTTAAAAAATGGGCAACGGTGCCTGGGTGGCTCAGTCATTAGGCGCCTGCCTTCGGCTCAGGTCATGATCCCAGGGTCTTGGGACTGAGCCCCACATCAGGCTCCCTGCTCCGCGGGAGGCCTGCTTCTCCCTCTCCCTCTGCCACTCCCCCTGCTTGTACTCCCTCTCTCTGTGCCTCTCTATCAAATAAATAAATGAAATTTTTTTTTAAAGATTTTATTTATTTATTTGAGAGAGAGAATGAGAGATAGAGAGCACGAGAGGGAAGAGGGTCAGAGGGAGAAGCAGACTCCCCGCCGAGCAGGGAGCCCGATGTGGGACTCGATCCAGGGACTCCAGGATCATGACCTGAGCCGAAGGCAGTCGCTTAACCAACTGAGCCACCCAGGCGCCCTAAATAAATGAAATTTTTAAAAAAATGGGCAAGGGACTAGAGTAGACATTACTCCAGAGACGACATACAAATGGCCAACAAATATATGAAAAGATGCTCAACATCACTCATCATCAAGAAATGTACATCAAAACCACAATAAGATACCACTTCACACCCACTAGGATGATTACTATTTTAAAAAACAGAAGGCGGGGCGCCTGGGTGGCACATTCGGTTAAGTGTCCGCCACTTGGTTTCAGCTCAGGTCATGATCTCAGGGTTGCGCGGGAGTCTGCTTGAGGATTCTCTCTCTCTCCCTGCCCCACACGTGCTCTCTCTCTCTCAAATAAATAAATAAATCTTAAAAAAAAAAAAAAGCAGAAAATATCAGGTGTTGGCAAGGATGCAAAGAAGTTGGAAACTTGTGCAGTGCTGGGAATGATAAAATGGTACAAGTGCCACAGAACAGTATGGAGGTTTCTGAAAACATTTAAAATAGAACCACCATATGACCCAGCAATCCTATTTATGGAGAGAGAAATATCCAAAAGAATGGAAAGCAAACATATTTGTGAGGGGGTTGGTTTTTTAGATTTTTATTTAAATTCAATTAACTGGGGCGCCTGGGTGGCTCAGTCAGTTGGGTGTCTGCTTTCGGCTCAGGTCATGATCCCGGGGTCCTGGGATCGAGCCTTGTATCGGGCTCCCTGCTCCGCGGGGGGCCTGCTTCTCCCTCTCCCTCTCCCTCTGCCACTCCCCCTGCTTGTGCTCTCTCTCTGACAAATAAATAAAAATTTTTTTTAAGAAGAGTCTCTTATGGTTTGTCTCCCTCTTTGATTTCATCTTATTTTATTTTTCCCTCCCTTCCCCTACAATCCTCTGTTTTGATTCCACACATGAGTGAAATCATATGATACATGTCTTTCTCTGATTGACTTATTTCGCTCAGCATAATACCCTCTAGTTCCATCCACATCGTTGCAAATGGTAAGATTTCATTTTTTGATGGCTAATAGTCGTATATTTATTTATTTATTTATTTATTTATTTATTTATTTATTACCTCTTCTTTGTCCATTCATCTGTCGATGGACAGCTGGGATCTTTCCATAGTTTGGCTATTGTGGGCATTGCTGCTATAAACACTGGGGTGCAGGTGCCCCTTCAGATCACTCCATTTGTATCTTTGGGGTAAGTGCCCAGTGGTGCAATCGCTGAGTCCTAGGGTAGCTCTATTTTTAACGTCTTGAGGAACCTCCCTACTGTTTTCCAGAGTGGCTGCAGCAGCTTGCATTCCCACCACCAGTGTGGGAGGGTTCCCCTTTCTCTGCATCCTTCTCCAACATCTGTTGTTTCCTAGGTTGTTGATTTTAGCCATTCTGCCTGGTGTGAGGTGGTATCTCATCATGGTTTTGATTTGTATTTCCCTGATGCCCAGTGATGTTGAGCATTTTCTCATGTGTCTGTTGGCCCTTTGGATGTCTTCTTTGTGTTTTTTGTTGTTGTTGTTGTTTTGTTTTGTTTTTTCTTAAAGCCTTTACTCTTGAAACATGATGGAAAAATGCGACAGGTACACACGGAAAAGACATGATCACAGTTAAAAGTGAGGACAATCTAACCAGAAAGCTTTAACGCCTGTCAGCTAATGTTGAAGCTAAAGTTCTGAGTGTGGCATGCTGCAGGGCTGAAAGAAATGGTAATTAGTATTCTTCTCCTTCTTCTTCACCCTCTCCTTCAACAGAATCCACACCAACCTCCTCATAATCCTTCTCAAGGGCAGCCATATCCTCACGGGCCTCAGAAAAGGATGTCTTCTTTGGAGAAATGTCTGTTCATGTCTTCTGCCCATTTCTTGATTGGATTATTTGTTCTTTGGGTGTTGAGTTTGATAAGTTCTTTCTAGATTGTGGATACTAGCCCTTTATCTGATACGTTATTTGCAAATATCTTCTCCCATTCTGTCGGTTGGCTTTTGGTTTTGTCGACTGTTTCCTTTGCTGTGCAAAAGCCTTTTATCTTGATGAAGTCCCAATAGTTCATTTTTGCCTTCGTTTCCCTTGTCTTTGAAGACTGTCTAGCAAGAAGTTGCTGCGGCTGAAGTCAAAGAGGTTGCTGCCTGTGTTCTCTTCTAGGATTTTGATGGACTCCTGTCTCACATTTAGGTCTTTCACCCATTTGGGTTTATTTTTGTGTGTGGTGTAAGAAAGTGGTCCAGTTTCATTCTTCTGCATGGGGCTGTCCAATTTTCCCAACACCATTTGTTGAAGAGACTGTCTTTTTTCCATTGGACATTCTTTCCTGCTTTGTCGAAGATGAGTTGACCATAGAGTGGAGGGTCCATTTCTGGGCTCTCTATTCTGTTCCATTGAGCTATGTGTCTGTTTTTGTGCCAGCACCATGCTGTCTTGATGATTACAGCTTTGTAATTGAGCTTGAAGTCCGGAATTGTGATGCCGCCAGCTTTGGTTTTCTTTTTCAACATTCCTTTGGCTATTCAGGGTCTTTTCTGGTTCCATACAAATTTTAGGATTGTTTGTTCCAGCTCTGTGAAAAATGTTCATGGTATTTTGATAGGGATTACATTGGATGTGTAAATTGAAAGCAGAGATACTCGGATATCCAAGGTCACAGCAGGAATATTCATGATAGCCAACCTGAGCGTCCATCAGCTGATGAATGGTTGAACAAAATGTGGTCTCTCCACACAATGTAATATTATTCTTTCTGAAAAAGGAAGGAAATCCTGCCATACACAGCTACAACATGGATGAACCCCGAGGACATTATGCCAAGTGAAAGAAGCCAGTCACAAATGACAAATACTGTATGATTCCACTTCTATGAGCTATCTAAAGTAGTCAAATTCGTAAAAACGGGAAGTAAAATGATAGGTGCCAAGGGCTGGAGGAAGGGGCCAAAGGAGAGTCGTTTGATAGAGTTTCAGCTTTACAAGATGAAAGTTCTGGAGATCTGTTTCATAACAATATAAGCATACTTAACACTATTGAACTGTAAAATGGTCAGGATGGGAAATTGTATGTGATGAATTTCTTACCACACACACACAAAAATGGACTCAAGGAAAAGCAGAAAACCTGAACAGTCCTGTAATTATTAAAGAAATTGGATCGGTAGTTTAAAATGTATGGATAGAGGGGCAAGAGACAGCAAAACCAAGGTTTGTAGATGAATTTTATCAGATCTTCAAGAAACGAATAACCCCTCTGTCAGATAAATTGTTCCAAGGAAGAGAAAAAGAAAAAAAAAAGCTCTCCCAACACAGTTTATGATGTCTCTATACCAAAGCTCAGCAAGGGTAATACAAGGCAGAAAGAAAGAGGCTGAGGGGGAGGGAGGGAAGGAGGGAGGGACGGAGGAAGGGAGGGAGAGAGGGAGGGAGAGAGGGAGGGAGGGAGGGAGGGAAGAAGGAAGGAAGGAAGAGAAAAAAAGGAAGGCAATCCAATCCAGAACTATATATGAAAAAAATACACCATGACACGGTTAAGTTTAGCCCAGATAATGCAAAGGTGGTTTAACATTAGAAAATCAATTAATGTGGGTGCCTGGGTGGCTCAGATAGTTAAGCGTCTGCCTTCAGCTCAGGTCATGGTCCCAGGGTCCTGGGATCGAGTCCCGCGTCGGGCTCCCTGCCCCGCGGGGAAGCCTGCTTCTCCCTCTGCCTCTATCTCTCTGTCTCTCATGAATAAATAAATAAAATCTTAAAAAAAAAAAAGAAAATCAATTAATGTAATTTGCCATATTAACGGATGGGAGGAAGAAACTCCTGTGACCATCTCAATGCTCTGGGAAAAAGCATTTGATAAAATTCCACACATAGCAAGCTGGGACTGACAGGGAACCTCCTTACTCTCATAAAGGTGTCTACCAAACACTCCCCACCAACACTGTACTTAACGGTTAAACATTGAGAACATTCCCTTTGCTTTTTTTTGCTTTTTTTTTTAAGATTATTTATTTATTTGAGAGAAAGAGAGCGTGCACGAGGTGGGGGGAGGGGCAGGGGGAGAGGAAGAAGCAGACTCCCCGCTGACAGGGAGCCCAATGACAACGTGGGGCTCCATCTGACCGGGGTGGGGGGGCTCGATCCAACTGGGTGCTCGATCCCAGGCCCCTGGGATCATGACCTGAGCTGAAAGCAGACACTTAACCCACTGAGCCACCAAGGCGCCCCTCCCTTTGCTTTCATTCAGTTTTGTACTATCCAGGAAAGTAAAGTGAAAAAAAAAGAAACTGTAAGTTCATCAGGGATATTGGTGTGTAATTCTCCTTTTTGATGGGGTCTTTGTCTGGTTTTGGGATCAGGGTAATGCTGACCTCATAGAATGAGTTTGGAAGTCTTCCTTCCATTTCTATTTTTTGAAACAGCTTCAGGAAAATAGGTATGATTTCTTCTTTAGGTGTTTGGTAGAATTCCCCTGGGAAGCCATCTGGCCCTGGATTCTTGTTTTTTGGGAGTTTTTTGGTTACTGCTTCAACTTCCTTGCTGGCTATTGGTCTGTTCAGATTGTCTACTTCTTCCTATTTCAGTCTTGGTAGTTTTTAAGTGTCCAGGAATGCATCCATTTCTTCCAGATTGCCTAGTTTGTTGGCATATAGCTGTTGGTAATAAGTTCTAATAATTGCCTCTATTTCCTTGGTATTGGTTGTGATCTCTCCCCTTTCATTCATGATTTTATTAATTTGGGTCCTTTCTCTTTTCTTTTTGATAAGTCTGGCCAGAGGTTTATCGATCTTATTAATTCTTTCAAAGCACCAGCTTCTAGTTTCGTTGATCTGTTTTACTGTTCTCCTAGTCTCTATTTCATTGATCTCTGCTCTAATCTTTATTATTTCTTTTCTCCTGCTTGGTTTGGGCTTTATTTGCTATTCTTTCTCCAGATCCTTTAGGTATAAGGTTAGCCTGTGCATTTGGGATTTTTCTAATTTTTTGAGAGAGCCTTGGATGGCTATGTACTTCCCTCTAAGGACAGCCTTTGCAGTATCCCATAGGTTCTGGACTGATATGTTTTCATTTTCATGGGTCTTTTTTTTTTTTTAATAGATACAGAACATCTTTTTTTTTTCTTTAGGATTTTATTTATTTATTTGACAGAGACAGAGATAGCAAGAGCAGGAACACAAGCAGCGGGAGTGGGAGAGGGAGAGCAGGCTTCCCTCCGAGGAGGGAGCCCGATGTGGGACTCGATCCCAGGACCCTGGGATCATGACCTGAGCTGAAGGCAGACGCTTAACGACTGAGCCACCCAGGCGCCCTCATTTTCATAGGTTTGCATGAACTGTTTAAGTTTCTTTTTAATTTCCTGGTTGAATGACCCATTCATTCTTTAGCAGGATGCTTTTTAACCTCCAAGTATTTGCATTCCTTCAAAATTTTTCCTTGTGGTTGAGTTCCAGTTTCAATGCATTGTGGTTTGAAAACCTGCAGGGAATGATCTCAGTCTTTTGGTATCGGTTGAGACCTGATTTGCGACCCAGTATGTGATCTATTCTGGAAAACGTTCCATGTGCACTCAAGAAGAATGAGTATTCTGTTGTTTTAGGATGGAATGTTCTGTATATATCTGCAAAGTCCATCTAGTCCAATGTGTCCTTCAAAGCTCTTGTTTCTTTGTTGACCTTCTGCTTAGATGATCTATCTATTGCTGAGAGTGGAGTCTTGAAGTTTCCTACTATTAATGTATTATTATCGGTATGGTTCTTTATTTTGGTTAATAGGTGGTTTATGTCGTTGGCTACTCCCATGTCCCTCTTCATCTTTTACTACAGTCTTTGGTTTAAAATCTAATTTGTCTGATATGAGAATTGCTACACCCACTTTCTTTTGAGGTCCGTTGGCATGATAAATGGTTCTCCATCCCCTCACTTTCAATCTGGAGGTGTCTTTAGGTTCAAAATGAGTCTCTTGTAGATAGCATATGGATGGGTCCTGCTTTTGTATCTAATCTGAAACCTTGTGTGTGTCTCTTGATGGGAATACTCAGCCCGTTCATGTTGAGAGTGACTATATACAAAGATAAACTCAAAATGGATGAAAGACCTAAATGTAAGACAGAAATCCATCAAAATCCTAGAGAAGAACATAGGCAGTAACCTCTTCAACATTGGCCACAGCAACTTCTTTCAAGACATATCTCTAAAGGCAAGGGAAACAAAAGCAAAAATGAACTTCTGGGACTTCATCGAGATAAAAAGTTTCTGGACAGCCAAGGAAACAGTCAACAAAACTAAGAGGCAACCCACAGAATAGGAGAAGATATTTGCAAATGACATTACGGATAAAGGGCTGGTATCCAAGATCTGTAAAGAACTTCTCAAACTCAACACCCAAAGAACAAATAATCCAGTCAAGAAATGGGCATGAACAGACACTTCTCCAAAGAAGACATACAAATGGCCAACAGACACATGAAAAAATGCTCAACATCACTGGGCATCAGGGAAATACAAATCAAAACCACAATGAGATACCACCTCACACCAGTCAGAATGGCTAAAATGAACAAGACAGGAAACAACAAGTGTTGTTGGTGGGGATGTGGAGAAAGGGGAACCCTCCCACACTGTTGGTGGGAATGCAAGCTGCTGCAGCCACTCTGGAAGACAGCATGGAGTTTCCTCAAGGCGTTAAAAACAGAGCTACCCTATGACCCAGCAATTGCACTACTAGGTATTTACCCCAAAGATACAGACGTAGTGAAAAGAAGGGGCACATGCACCCCAGTGTTTATAGCAGCAATGTCCGCAATAGCCGAACTGTGGAAGGAGCCGAGATGCCCTTCAACAGACGAATGGATAAAGAAGATGCGGTCCATATATACAATGGAATATGACTCAGCCATCAGAAAGGATGAATACCCAACTTTTACATCCACATGGATGGGACTGGAGGAGATTATGCTGAGTGAAGTAAGTCAAGCAGAGAAAGACATGTATCATATGGTTTCACTTATTTGTGGAACATAAGAAACAGAGCAGAGGACCACAGCGGAAGGGAGGGAAAACTGAACAGGAAGAAATCAGAGAGGGAGACAAACCATGGGAGACTCTGGACTCCGGGAAACAAACTGAGGGTTACAGAGGGGAGGGGGTGGGGGATGGGGTACCCGGGTGATGGGTATTAAGGAGGGCACGTGATGTGATGAGCACTGGGTGTTATAAGCAACTAATTAATCGTTGAACACTACATCAAAAACTAATGATGTACTCTATGTTGGCTAACTGAACATAATAAAAAAAAGAAACTAGCTAGAAGGACTGGAAAAGAAGAAACACAATAGTTATTAGTGGCAGATGAGATGATTGTGTAAGTAGAAAAAGGAACAGAGGGGCTCCTGGGTGGCTCAGTCAGTGAAGCCCCTGCCTTCGGTTCAGGTCATGACCCCAGGGTCCTGGGATCGAGCCCCGTGTCAGGCTCCCTGCCCCGCGGGGAGCCTGCTTCTCCCTCTCCCTCTGCCTGCCGCTTCCCCCTGCTCGTGCTCTCTCTGTCAAATAAGTAAATAAATAAATAAATAATCTTTTTTTTTTTTTAAAGATATTACTTATCTATTTGACAGAGAGAGACAGCGAGAGAGGGAACACAAGCAGGGGGCGTGGGAGAGGGAGAAGCAGGCTTCCCGCCGAGCAGGGAGCCCGATGCGGGGCTCCATCCCAGGACCCCCGGGATCATGACCTGAGCCGAAGGCAGCTGCCCAACTGACTGAGCCACCCAGGTGCCCCATAAATAAATAAATAATCTTTTTTTTTTAAGATTTTATTTATTTGTTTGAGAGAGAGAATGAGACAGAGAGGGAGCATGAGAGGGGGGAGGGTCAGAGGGAGAAGCAGACTCCCTCCTGAGCAGGGAGCCCGACGCGGGACTCGATCCTGGGACTCCAGGATCCTGACCCGATCCGAAGGCAGTCGCTTAACCAACTGAGCCACCCAGGCGCCCAGTAAATAATCTTAAAAAAAAAAAAAAGGAAGAGGAACAGAATCCACAAAAGGAATCCAAAAAGAATCATTAGACTTCATAGCAACGATACAGTCGGAAGGTCACTGAGCAAGAAGACAGACAGCATTTACCGTGGCATCAAAAGTCTAACAAATGAGGTGCCAGTCCTCTAGGGAAACAATATATTTTTTAAAGGATCCTAATAAAGAGAGAGATACACTATGTTCATAGAAGGGGAAACAATATTTTAGAGATAGCTAGTCTCCAAAGTGATTCAGAATTCAACAAAATCTCTATTTACCCCTTCAAAGAAATCCCAACAGACTTTTTCCTAGAACTTGACAAGCTGTTTCTTAAACTTTTAAGGAAAACTAAAAGCCCTAGAATAGGCAAGAAAATCTTGAAAGATGATGAGAAGGAGCAACAAACTGAGGGGGAAAGCAAGGAGAAGGAAAAGGGGAAAGGGGAGAAAAGGAAGCTTTAAAGCTTTCATAAGTGTAGCAGGGGCAGACAAAGACACCAAAGGGACAGAGGGGGAGCCGCCTGGCCACCTGGGCCTGGACAGGGCATGTAACCAAGGGCTCAGCGCACGTCAGTGGCTGGATGGGCTGAACACTGGGGCTCGGACGACAGCCCTCCATGTGGAAAAGGAGAAAACGTGACCCCTACCTCACACCACCTGTGCACAAATCCACTCTAGATGACTTGAAGAATACCTGAATATGAAAATCTATTTTAAAAAATTAGAAAAGAGACCCAGGAGACAATTTCTATGATCTTGGGTAAGGGTCTCCTGGATTCTCCTGCCTCCACTGCCTCCACCCCACCCAACAGGATTCTGCCCCCTCCACCCAGGGCCACCAGCTTACACTTGTCCAAATTCAAAGCTATTTACAAGATCATGGTGACATAAGTCCAGGTTCTCCCTGATTTGCTCACCTCCGCACCCACCTGCAGGCCATTTCCCCTCCTGCCCAGCGCCTGCCTTGGTTCATGGTTCAGGGCCACATGGCCTGATGGTTAAGTGCAGGGGGCCCGCAGTTGACTCTTAGCCTGGCCACTAACTGGCTGTGCAACTTTGTGCAGGTTTCCCAACCTCCCGTGCCTCAGTTTCCCAACCTTTGAACTGGAGGAAATAACTGTACCCCCTCCAGGGTCATCAGAAGGAGTGAATGAGGGCGCCTGGGTGGCTCAGTCGGTTAAGCGACTGCCTTCGGCTCAGGTCATGATCCTGGAGTCCCGGGATTGAGTCCCGCATCGGGCTCCCTGCTCGACGGGGAGTCTGCTTCTCCCTCTGACCCTCTTCCCTCTCGTGCTCTCTGTCTCCCATTCTCTCTCTCTCAAATAAATAAATAAAATCTTAAAAAAAAAAAAAAAGAAGGAGTGAATGAGTTAGCATAACATAACAGAACACTTAGACCAGCTCTGGTGGTCAGGAAGACATCAGCAGGAGCAGAACTGTGTGGTTCAAGATCAGCTTAAATCTCACTTCCTCTGTGAAGTTCTCCCTGAGACCTGGCTCCCCTCCTTGGTGCCCCAGTGTGTCCTCCCTCCAGAGATGGGCTCTTCTGGCAGTGGGGTCTCATCTGTTGGCAAGTAGTTCTGCCCCTGAGGCCCTGGAGACTCTTGGATCGGGTGGCGGTGGGCTTTGTCTCTGGACAGTGCCACCGCAAGGCGCTTAGTGGAAGGCTACGGAATGCCCTCCTGCCCACGCAATGGGAGGGCACAGCCCCGGCTCTCACCTGCTCCAGCCAGGTGCCCACGGCCAGCCCTCCGCCGTGCCCACCATGGCCGGCAGAGGGCAGCAGCGCCCTGCCCTGCACCATCAGGCAACCGGGCGGGCGGGGAGGGACTGGGCGGCCCGGCCGCCCCGCCAGGATAAGTCGGGTTGGGCGCGATTGCATTGTGGCGAGGGAGGCCGGGGCTCGGCTGGGACGCACTTCTGGCACAGCCAGCTGCTCTTCAACCCCAGGTAGGCAGGAGCTGGGGCTGGCGAGGGTGCGGGGCGCCAGGGTCGCTGGGTCGTGGGGCACCGCCGTGGGGCGTGCTGGCACCTGGGAGAAGCCAAGGGTCTGCAGAGCCGACTCGCCTGATAGGGCAAAGGCCATCAGGAACCAGTCCAAGCCCTGAGACAGCAGCTCCTGATGCCTTAGGGACGCACTACCCCCTGAGGCTGTGGCCCCGGAGCTGGAAGGGAGGACCCCAGGCTTCTAACCCCAAATGGGAAAGCTGGCCGGCGGGGCTGGGTGCTGGGGGCAGGGCACCGGGTAGGGCGGAGGCCCGCCTGGCTCCCCACCCCCCACAGCCACCCAACCGGCCCAGCCAGGTGGCAGTGAGCCCCACAGGCTGCCACCTCGCCCTGGAGCCCGGAGCCTGCCGCTGGAGCCTGCTGCTGCCGTGCACCATGGAGAAAGTGGGGACCCCAGCCTGAGTGCACCTGCCCCTGCAGCCCTAGGCCAGGGCCCCAGCTCTGTGAGCTTCGTGCGCAGATGGTGCCCTGTGGGGTTGGCAGGAGAGCCAGCTGCCACGCCGTTCCCCACCCCGTTCGGCACCCCAGGCACGGAGGGGAGCCCTAGGCCCATCCCGGGATGGTGTTTCCCTGGGGGAGGGGGGAAGGGAACAGCCCGGCAACCAGTTGCCGGGGCCGGAAGCCAAGTGCTGGGTTCCTGGGGGCCATGGCCCCCACCCGGTCCTCTGCATCCCCCAGCAGCGTCCTCCACTGGCACCGCCCACGACCATCAGGCTGTACCTGGCACGACTTTACGAGTCCCCTGAGGCGGGGCTAGATGGAGACAGGTCGCCTGCTCTCTGGCCAGTCTTATTCCAGGCCAAGGGGGCTGGGGGGGGGGG